CCAGTGTCCCTCTTGCTATATTGCGGTTAATAGCGTCTTTCCTGGAAGACAGGAAGTTCTACGTCTGCGTAGAGGACGCCGAATCCGCAACGAGAACCATCAAAGCCGGCGTCCCACAGGGCAGCTGTTTGTCTCCATTCCTGTACGCGGCTTACACCAACAACATACCTACACTGGCAGGCAGGCTTCAAGAGTGGGAGGACGACGTTGAGCTGGCGCTATTCGCGGACGATAGCGCCTATTTCACCTCGTCCAGAAGAGCCCACATAGCAACTGCCAAGATGCAGCGTCTGCTGGACCTGCTGCCACCATGGCTGGATGAGTGGAGGATGGTCGTCAACGTTGGTAAGACGACCGCTCTGCTCACTCGCCGTCTCAGGAAGTTTCCACCTCCACTGACCCTCAACGGCCAGAAGATTGCGTACCAGAAGGCTGTAACCTACCTTGGGTGCAGTATCGACAGGACGCTGCGCATGACCGCGCACGTCGACTTCGTCGTCCGCCGGGCCCGATGTGCGTGGGTGACGCTCTTGCCGGTCCTGGCATCCAAGCTGCCCATACGAACCAAGCTCCGGATATACAAGATGTATATCCGGACCATCATCACCTACGCTGCACCGGCCTGGTACGCACTTCTGAGCGACCCTCTGAGGCGGCGACTACAGGCCCAGCAGAATCTGACATTAAGGACGATCGTCGGAGCAGGTCGCTACGTCCGGAACGACGTGATAGCGGCCGACTTGAAGATCGAGAACATCACCGACTTCGTGGCCCGGTTAGCGCGCGGCATGTTTGACCGTGCCGATAACGGGCCACACGAACACCTTAACGGCTTTGCGCCGTTACACACCCGGCCACCGGACGGGCGACCTCTTCCAAGAGAACTCCTCTCTATATGTGATTAGAGAGTTGAGTAACAACCCACAATGCCGCAGAAAGGCCAACTCAGACTTACCAAATAACCACCTTTTTCCGTAGTTGGACAACTACGGAAAAACAATTTACCGCCACCACGGAAAAAACCCGTGTATGCTATCGAGCCTAAAATAGGCTAAAGGACTGTCCCATAGTAATGGGATATGAGGACACCCGGGCAATGGGGGTTACCCCGAGGCCCGATACCTGCATTGTCCCAGGACATTGTAGACGACATTCAACGCTTTCGCCACAAGAGGATTCACATGTATACTTGGGAAAGAGGTGACGATAGAAGCATGATAGATTTCATAATTGTGGATGAAAGATTGAGGGGCGCAGTGGTAGATACAAGGGTTTACCGGGGTTCTAACGTAGGAACGGATCATTATTTGGTTTTATGCCGAATTAATAGTCTATTCAGGCATTGGCGCCATCGATCATCTGTGTCTACCACTGCGTTACAGCGTATTAGAACAGAAAGTTTACAAGATGAAAGTGATAAAAACAAGTTCAAATGTAGACTGAAAGAAAATGTAAGTGGTTTGGATGAATTATGTATGAAGGAGTTAGACTTGGAGAATGTATGGTAAAATGTAAAGAAAGGTTTAGTGAATGCAGCTACCGAAGTATGTGGTGTTAGTAAGAGGAAGAATGAAAGGAAAAATAATACGTTATGGTGGGATGATGAGATACGTATGGATGTTGAAGCAAAGAAGAGAGCATGGTTAGATTTACTAGCAACAAAGGCTGGTAATTCTAGCGGTACGAATGATGATATTGAAAGAAAAAAGGCAGTCTTTAAACATCTTAATAAGAGAGTAAAAGAAGTAGTTGAAAGAAAAAAGCAAGAAAGAACGGATAAGAATGATAGAAGAATATCGGATAACTTCCAGGCAAATATTAAAATGTTCTGAAAACTTGTAAGAACTGCCAGGGGACATTCAAAACAGCCTATGATGAATGTTATAAGAGACGAGAATGGCTATATTCTGAAAGATGAAGTTTTGAGTATAAAGAGATGGAAGGAATATTTTGAAAGCGTGTTTATGAGTGAGGAGACAACGTGTGTACTAAGTGAAGTAGAAACTCCGAAAGAAGAGGAAAGAGGTAGCGAGATAAGTATAGATGAAATAATGAAAGCAATGAAAAGCATGAAAGCAGGTAAGGCTGCCGGATATGATAGAGTTTCACTCGAAATGCTAAGGGCTGGAGAGGAAGTCGTGGCAGGCCTGCTGCACACCTTGTTTAATTTATGCTGGGAACTGAAGCGGGTACCGGTAGACTGGTGCAAAGCCGTGATAGTCCCAGTATATAAAGGAAAAGTGTCGCAGCAAGACTGTAAAAACTATCGTGGCATCAGCCTTCTTAGCATTGTGGGAAAACTGTATGCTAAGGTACTGATTGAAAGGGTCATGAAAGAAACTGATGGAAAAATTTGGGATGTGCAAGCGGGATTCAGAAATGGAATGGGATGTACAGATCAAGTCTTTTCCATGCGCATGATCGCGGAGAAGTTTTTGGCCAAAAACCAAAAGGTTTTTTGTGCGTTCATGGACTTGGAAAGGGCCTATGACAGAGTGGATAGGGATGTGCTATGGCAAACACTGAACTCATTTGGGTTGAGCGCTGGCTTGATACAGGCATTGGAGTCTCTTTATAGGGACTCTAGTGCTTGTGTTAGGATCAACGGGGTCTACTCGGACTGTTTTGACATCCATAAAGGTGTCAGACAGGGCTGTGTGGCTTCCCCTTGGCTGTTCAGCCTATTTATGGACAGTTGTTTGCAAAATTTGAAAGTTGAAGAATGCAGATTAAGAATGGGTGAGTTAACCGTCAAATGCCTTTTGTACGCCGATGATCAAGTTATCCTTGCGTCGTCGGCGGCCGAGTTGCAAATGATGGTTACATTAATGAACAGATCATTAAAAGAAAGGGGTATGAAAGTGAACGCAAGTAAGACGAAGGTTATGGTTTTTGAAAGAGAAGAAAGTAAAACGATTTGTGAAATAAGAATAGAAGGGGAGTTGATCGAGCAAGTAGATGAGTTTGTATATTTGGGCTGCGTATTTAGCTGGGATGGGAGATATGATAAGGATATAGAACGACGAGTGAATGCGGGAAATAGAGTAAATGGGGCCCTGCACTCTATTGTGAAGAGTCAAAATGTGTCAAAAAAGGCACGTATGGCAATTCACAATGCTGTGTTGGTCCCTACTTTAACGTATGGTAGTGAAGTTGGGTGTGGCAGTAGAAGCATGAGAGTAGAATCAACACAGTAGAAATGCGGTCCTTAAGGAGTATGTTAGGGCTGAATCTGAACGACAGGGTAAGAAATTGTGTAATAAGAGAAGAGTGCGGTTTGCAAGATGATGTTGTGACCAGGATTAATAAAGGAATGCTTCGGTGGTTTGGTCATGTGGAAAGAATGAATGAGGAAAGAGTGACAAAGAAAATTTATGTTGCAGAAGTGAATGGCAGAGTCGGAAAGGGACGTCCTAGGCGAAAATTTATCGACCAAATTGGCGATTTATTGAAAACGGGCCAAATTAGGAGTACCCTTAACCGACGAGCATGTATGCCTAGGTGTATGGATGTGAAGGAGGCGAGAGAGGTGTGTCAGGATCGTGCCAAATGGAAGTCTGTAGTCTCTGCCTACCCCTCTGGGTGACAGGCGTGAGTGTTTATGTATTATGTATGTATCTTACAGATTGTAACGACTGTAAGTTTTTATATTTTACATAGTTCCTCCTTTGTTATTACTTTTTTAAATATTTTAATAATTATATGACATACCTGGATTATGTGCATTCCCATTAACATTATATTGAAGACAAATAAGTCCATAAGTCATAACGCCACATCAGAGAAGTCAGTCATGTTAGTCACATTACATACTTCATTCCCTATTTTTCCATCCTTAGGGGTGAAAATAAATATTTTCGTCAAATTTAAATAGGACTAGCCTTGAGTTAAGTCTGTTCAATAAAAAATAAACATTAAAATTGGTTTACAATTGGTGAAACATCACGTCAAAACTTATATAAAAAATAAACTGCAACACAAAATACATTGAATTTGTAGTATACATAGTAGAATGCATAGTATTTGTATTATAAAATACATAAAAATATGATTTATTTTTTATTTTGTAATATTTTTATCTAGCTTCTCCTGACCGCTAAATGTTCATGGAGGATTTTGTGCACTTGACTCATGCCGATGCCTAGGCTTGTCCGAATATGCTGTAAGTCACTCTTTTGTCAGTCTCTATCATACGCCGCAAAATACTGATGTTATCTAGGATGTTAGTTAGGATGCCGTCTCTTACGTAGATCATCGGTGAGATTAGTGCAACTACGTTTAAACTCATTAAACCAACTCTCAAGATTCACCTTAAATCGGGTGGATTATTAATGTCATTTTCATTTAACCATTCGGCGTTTTCATTTCAATCAGCATCTCTTATTCTGCACATTAATTCTCAAACACAAGACGAGCCGTTCTATCCTAATATCTAAAGCTTGTACTAGTTTACCTATCAAAGTGCGATTGCATGAAGCTTTGTCTCTAGTTGGTTTCTTTATTAATGTAATGAAACGAAACTCATTTCCTTATTTTTTGTAAGAAATGGAAAAGAAATGCACATACCATATTGAAAAAATAAAATAGTCTTATGAATTTAGATTATATCGTTTCAAAAATATTTTATTGATTTATAATTTTTTATCTTAAGTAAAATTTTGAATAATCCTCCAGCTCTAGCTTACTAGCTCCTAGCCTGCTTACGTAATACTTGAACGTGCCTAAGACCGTCTATTCATGATAAATGTGTAACAAAGGGTTTAAAAAAAAGTAGAATGTGATCAATTTAATAATATATTTTGTAAACATACCATACAACATCATCATACATATCAACATCATAGCAGCAAATCACATTATTGCAAATAATAATAATTAATTAAAAATAAATAAATAAAAAAAGTCAATATGGTTCTTTAATCAGACATGATTTTCGCAATTACAAAGATGATATACTAATGGCGTATCTTGAAAAGGGTTCGCAAAATGGAAATATCTGACTAGCTATGAGAACTGCCGCATTTAAAAGGACAGCTATTAGATTTCTCGGAATTTTCTGAGTGTTGTAAGGAAGTATTTATTGTCATTTCTTGCGTCTTGTTTGATTCTAACGCTGTTCCGGTATCTCGCACCGGTACTGTTATTGATTCATCGAATTGGGTAATTTTTTCCGTAAGTAACATTTCATTGTCCATTTTAATAACTGGAGTAAGGCTCTCTTTACTATACATCATATCTTCTGGAGTGGAGCCTAGTGAATTTGAATAAAATTCATCTCTTCGCATAGTTTCAACTTCAACTGAAACATCAGTGACCGCCACAGTGAAATTTGAACTGGTTGAGTCTTGATTGTTTCTTCCTGACGATTTATTTTAAAATAATGGTTTTAAAAATTCGAAATCCAAGTCTGAAGAATCACTTTCATCGATATCGGAACTTAAAGCACCTTTGTTTAATACACTAATATAATTTGAACTTGTTTCGGAGGTACTAACCTCAGTAGACTTACTTGACACATGTTCATCTTTAGAAATATCATGCTCAGAATCAGCCTTATTATCATTAATCTCAATTATTTTAGTATAAGAATCATCTTCGGAATAGGTTTCATATTCAACACCATGGAATAATTGTCTATATAATTTAAGCATTTTTCTTTCTAATAACTAATGGTATTGCTCCGATTCATCAGGAAGGTTCTTTTCCCTTTCTATAATAAGATCTGGCAGAGGACTGACTATATGATCTGGACGAACCCTCTGTTGAAGATATATCGGATAAATTGGATCTCAGTTCATTTGTTTCTGAAATTGTCGATAACCCTGTAAAGTAAAACTTCTAGTATTAGCTACTAGTGTAAATGATTAGACATTTTTAATTTATTTTATTTGATAACCAGCACTCGAAGATTTTATCAGTCACTTTTAAGAGTCACTAACTTCACCCGGCGGATCAGTAAGCTGAAATGGATTGCCATTTCAGGTTACGGATTTGGGCTGCTCAAATAGCTTGAAGAACTGACAACAGACGGGGAAGGAAGGTTTTCGAGTATCGGTTAGCAAAGTGTGGTGCAGCCTCCACTAGATAATATATAAAATACAGGACGAGGATGCAGGTATCCAGCAGTGGACTTGTCAAGGGCTCTGATGATAATGACGGTGGAAGTATCTAAATAATATGCAAATATTAATAGTTCTATGACAAGAGCTAAATACCGTCTTTGTTGCGTTGTCTTGTTATTGGGTGGACATTATAAATCGACTGTAAGATTTTGACATTTTACAATTAACTTTAGAGTAAAGTTTTGCCGTGTAGTGGAGGTTAAGAATATCCACTACCCCATATCTTCCCGTGGGTGTCGTAAAAGGCGACAGAGGGAAACAGGCAGGAGATGGGTAGCAGCATCTTCCTGATAACAGCAACTGTACGACAAAAAAAAACTGTGGTTGCCAACCCGCTCGCCAAGCGTGGCAACTATGGCAATATACCCCCCTAGACGGCCCCCAGTCCCCGGCGGCTCCGCTATTCCTGGCTATGGTGGCGACCATGGCAACAGCGGGGCAGGGTGTCCTAAGAATCTCCGGTCGAGGTTCGGTTGCCAATAACGACGAGTTGACCTGGCAACTTATAACGTACACACCCTGAGGACTGACGAGAAGATCCTGGAGCTGGAAGAAGATATAGATAAGTTGCGCTAGAATATTACAGGATTATCCGAGGTCCGAAGAGAGGGGAAGGACACGGTGATTCTCGAATCCGGCAACTTGTTTTATCACCGAGAGGGCGACCATCTGTCCCAAGGAGGTGTCGGATTTATCGTCCACAAGTCTCTCGTTAACAACGTTTTAAAGATTGGGAGTGTATGAACGAGGGTTGCGTACCTTATACTCACTTTAGAATCACCTTAGAATCACCAAACGGTATTCGCTGAAGGTTTACGCGCAAACGTCGGAACATCCCGATGGGGAGGTGGAGGAAATGTATGAGGATATTTCTAGAGCTATGCATTCCTCAAAAACTCTCTATACGTTGTTAATGGGAGACTTCAACGCAAAACTGGACACAAGAAAGAACGGTGAGCTGAAGGTAGGGAAATTTGGGATAGGGCAACGGAACCCAAAGGGCCAGCAGCTGGGCGACTTCATGGAGAAAGAGGGACTTTTTATGATGAACTTTTTCTTCCAGAAGTTCCAGAACTTCCAGAAGCGGCCCCACAGGACCTGGACAGTGGACCTGGTCGAGCCCGACGGTTCGACAAAAAATGAGATTGACTTCATTATGACGACCAGTCGCCAACTGTTCAGTGATGTCTCAGTGATCGCAAGAGTGAAAACTGGCAGTGATCACCGAATGGTTAGAGGCACACTGAACCTAAACGTTAAGTTGGAGAGGTCTCGTCTAATGAAGTCAACGCTCCGTCCCCCTCGTGCTCTAATCCAGAATCCCGAAACCTTTCAGCTCGAGTTACGTAACCGCTTTCAGTGCCTAGAAGATTGCAATGCAGTGGACGATATGAATGACAAGCTCGTGGAAACTGTCCATGCGGTCGGAGCTAAGTTCTGCAAGACCCACCGCAGAAGAACTTAAAAACTCTCCGATCACACTCTTAATCTCATGGCTGTTAGACGGGAGATGAGGCTGAAATCGTCAACAGATTTGACAGTATACAGGTAACTGAACAGACGGATCTCCAAATGCGTGCGGCGAGACTTACGCAAATTTAATACTGCTCGTATTGAAGAAGCGATCGAGTGGAACCAGGGCTCCAAAGTCTTTGCCAGAGAACTGTCTGCCAGAAAGAGCCAACTGTCAAAGCTGAAGACAGAGTGTGGCAGCATCATTTCCGGAACAACTGAGATTCTGAGTGAGATTAAGAGGTTCTATGGGCAGCTGTACACATCATCGTTGGACACGCAAGTGTGAGTAACGATCCAAGAGCAAGTCTTATGCGACACTATTCCGATGATATCCCGGACGTTAGTCTGAGCGAGATTAGAATGGCTCTCCCACACGGCAGGGCCCCAGGCGAGGATGGAATTACGGCGGAGTTTCTGAAAGCGGGTGGAACACCGGTACTTAAAGTCCTTCAGAAGCTCTTAAATTCCGTGCTCCATGGTCGCACTACTACGGAGGCGTGGAGCAGAAGTGCGGTGGTCTTGTTCTTTAAGAAAGGCGACAACGCTCTCTTGAATAAATACAGACCGATTTCCCTTCTGAGCCGCGTCTACGTGCTGTGTTCGAGAGTCATTACGAATCGTTTCACACGCAGACTCGACGACTTCCAGCCACCTGAACAAGCCGGTTTCCGAAAAGGCTTCAGTACCATAGATCACATACATACCCTGTAACAGATTGTACAGAAGACCGAAGAGTACAATCTGCCACTTTGCCTGGCGTATGTGGACTATGAGAAAGCCTTTGATTCCGTCGAAATTTGGGCGGTGCTATAGTCCCTTCAGCGGAGCCAAGTTGACTGGCGGTATATCGAAGTGCTGAAGTGTTTGCAGTAGAGCTACGATGGCTATCCGAGTACAGAACCAGAGTTCGAAACCTATCCAACTGCAGAGAGGTGTAAGACAGGGTGACGTTATATCCCCGAAACTCTTCACCGAAAGGATACGGTATTAACATCAATGGCAAGTACATCACTCACCTTCGATTTACCGACGATATAGTCCTTATGACAGAATCGCTGGAGAACCTAAGCACTATGCTCAATGACCTCAATGGTGTCTCCCAACGGATAGGTCTTAAGATGAACATGGACAAAATAAAGATCATGTTTCATGTCCATGTCACACCTATGCCGGTAGTTGTTGGGAGCACTATGCTAGAAGTTGTTGACGAGTACGTTTACCTGGGACAAATAATCCGACTAGGTAAGTCCAACTTCGACCGAGACGTCAATCGACTGATTCAACTCGGCTGGGCAGCGTTCGGGAAATTACGACATATCTTCTCGTCACGTATACTTCAAACTCTGAAAACCAGATTGTTCAACCAGTGCGTGTTGCCAGTGATGACTTACGGATCTGAGACGGTCCTCTACTGCTGGCCGTATGAGGACGCTCAAGGTCACTCAGCGAGCTATGTAGAGGGCTATGCTCGGAGTTTCTCTGCGTGATAGACTCAGAAATGAGCATATCCGCAGTAAAACCAGAGTGACCGACATATCCCAACGGATTAGTAAGCTGAAGTGGCAATGGGCCGGCCATATAGCTCGAAGAACCGATAACCGATGGGGAAGAAAGGTTCTCGAGTGGCAGCCTCGTATCGATAGGCGTAGTGTACGGCGACCCCCCACTAGATGGAGTGACGACCTGGTAAGACATGCAGGAAGTCGTTGGATGCAGATGGCTCAGGACCGTGCTTTGTGGCATTACTTGGGGAGGCCTATGTTCAGCAGTGGACTTGTGAAGGGCTGTAATGATGAAAATGATGATGATGATTGAGTAAAGTTATGGTCTATATACGTCCCACTGCTGGGCATAGGCCTCTTCTGACTTTTGAGAGAGTTTTAGGGCAAAGAAATGGCTGCCGCGCAGCCCGAATCCGTGTAGGTCGACTTCACACGTCTTCGAAATATATTTTTTCTTATTTTTCAAACATGCAGGTTTCCTCACGGTGTTTTCCTCCACCGCCGAGCACGTGCGAAATCAGCAGTTAAAACTGCAACTAACAAATTATTAAGCGGTCGTAGGTCAGTGGGTAATAGACGGAGAGGCAGAGCCAAAAAAAGTCTCTGAATTTATTAAGCCTGGTTTTTTCTCAGGTGATTATAATCATAATTTACAATAAAATGCTGCGGTCGTAAGCGGAATAGACAGGTGTCTCAGGTGCGCGGTCAAACATGTCGTGACCACCGACATAATAAAATTAATTTCTTAAGGCTGAAACTTTATGAACTTTTGTTTTTTATATCTAAATCATAATTATGATAGTCATTCAACGTTCTATGGGGACACAGCTGGTCAGTCAGCTTTTATTTACGAAGTGAGGTTTATAAGGGTGCAATTCGTTTATTATCCGTGAATTTTTTAGTAACTACTACTGACTATATTATTAATAAATAAAATGGTCAGTCAACCATTCCGTAGAACAAGGCCAGTCAGTCAGTGAATAAGAAATGAAATTTTTCGCTCTCTATGGACGTTACACGTGGCAACTTGTTTTTTATTTATAATTAATTTACTTAAAATAAAATAACGTTTTCATAATCATTTAAAGTACGACATTTATTTTTATCAGGCACTTCCGTGTCGCAGTTGTACCTAAAAATCCCACAAATAAAATTCATTCGAATACAACAGTGTACTTAACAAACGCAATTATGTATACTGGTAAAAACTCATTGAATTATTTTTAAACATTTTTAACTCATATATTTATTTATTTCATAAAGGATACAAAATTCTAACAATGTATAAATTATCATCAAATAATTCCTCATCTGTATTTTCAATCTCATTGATCTCACTACCATGATTTGACACGTCAAGCTCAGATGTTTCAGACTGAGAATCTAAAAAATAAATAAATTCATAAAAAATATTTTTGTGATTGTTTAATTTGGATAAAAAAATTGTATACCTATATTTTCTTCTAAAGGTTGAATAACAACATCTTGTACAAGTTCTGGTAATTGATCGCCTTTGAACCAATAAATCATAAATTTCTCATTAACTAATTTTTACGACTACGTCACAGCGACTGAGTGAAGCCAGCCACATTTGAGCGCGCGCCTGCTGTACTACCGTATGTCAGAGGAGTCACAGACAAAATTGGCTACATCTTGAAGCGAGCTTCCATTAAAACGTACTACAAGCCGCCGAAGAAGATTAGTCAATTTTTACCATCCATCAAATGAATATTCGTCTACAAGACGCAAGTTATACAAGCTAGATTGTGCATGTGGTCTCTCTTACATAGGTCAAACCAAAAGATCTATAAAAACCCGCGTGAAGGAACATATAGCTGACGTGAAGCACCGACGCTCCGGGAAGTCTGCAGTCTGCGAACATGTTCAAGATCGTCCCCACCATTACATTGAATTTGATAAACCACAAATCCTCGCAAAAGAACACCAATTCCTACCAAGGATGATACGCGAGGCTATTAAAATTAAAAAACATCCAAATTTCAATAGAGAAGATGGATTGGTGCTGCCATCTGTTTGGGATACTATAATTAACAAAATTAAACCCAAACCCAAGCATACAACTGCAAGACTTCATGATACTATAAGCTCATTTTGCGTAAATCGGACCAAAAATTAATATTAAAAAACTGAAGGAAGTCGGACTAACTGTGACCTTGGGACGTCAAAGATCTCAGCCCCCCGTGACCGTGGGTGCTGTAAAGCACCGAAACGTCGGGATATTACAAATAAGTAAAGTAGTAATTAAACGCGATAAAATCCGTAAATAATAGTTTTATTCAATGTCTAATGTTCGCGTAAATTTAAGAAATCATTATTGTAAAATGTATACAAAACTATCTATATAAAAGTCAGGTTTTACTTCATTACAAAAAGACATTTTGATGACAATAAAAAAAAGCGAATGTCGGCAGCGTGAAAATCACAATTATTTCAATATATATTACACAAAATGTTTACGTAAAAAGATAAATTATATTCCCACAAAAAATTTCATTACAATTTTATATTAAAACACCATACTAAAAGACTAATAAAACACTAGAAATATCCAAAAATCAACACAATAACATTCACTCGAAAATGGCGTACGTAATGAACGTAGATTATAAATAAATATCCATAGGATAACTGTTTTTTATTGCACTTTAGGATAGAAAATTTTATATTGATTCTATAATGCCCAACTTCTTCATAGAAAAGTAGTCTCTAAATATAAGATTTAATGGTTTAAAGTGCTGTGGGTGTACGCGGTCGAATCCGACCGCTTGCATTTTGAAAGAATAACGCCGCGGTTGAATTCGACCGCTAAGAGATTGAAGAGTTAATAAACTAATTGCACCCTTATCAACCAAGCTACGTACATTACAGCTAATTGATTAGCTGTGTCCCCATAGGTCGTTGACTGACTATCATAATTTTGATTTACATATAAAAAAAACAAAATTCCTAAAGTTTCAGGCTTAAGAAATTTATTTTTTATACCAGTAGTCACGACATGTTTGAACGCGCACCTGAAACATCTGTTCTAATATCCGCTTGACTGACCGTAGCATTTTATTGTAAATTATGATTATAATTACCTGAGAAATAAGCAGGCGTAATAAATTCAGAGATTTTTTTGGTTCTGCCTTTTGGTCTTTAAGCGCTCGCTGTAAATATCACAGTACGCGAGCAACCCGGGTTTGATTCCCGCAATCAACTATAATTACATAATATTTACAAACATAAACATAGTAAGTTCACCTGTTTCATTTTTGTTTGATATCATGTTTTACTAAATTATTTTAAAGTCTAAAGTAAGTTCAAGCTGGGTTAGTTTATTTTTTCGCCACTATTATTCTATTTCCGAACAGATTAATTGAAAAGCAACAACTTGAATTTAAATTGCCGTTGTTGTTAGAGAATCCAATACCCTGTCTCAACCTGTGAGTGTCGTGTGAGGCAACAAAGGGAAATAATGAAACAAGAGATGGGCAGCAGCACCCTGCTGATAACAAAAAAATACAAAAACTGCGGTTGCTAAACCACCTGCAAAGCCTGGTACCCAACTATGGAAATAAATCCTCCCCATAGTCAACCTGTGAGAAAGACCTATGTTCAGCTGTGGACTTTTAAAAGGCTGTAATGCACGGATAAATCACATAGATAGTAATTCAAAATAATATAAATCTGCGGTTGCCAATTTACTGACCAAGCGTGGCAACTACGGCAAAAATCCTCCGTGTGAGAAAATATATGGGGAGGTCTATGTTCAACAATGGAGCGTTGTTACGTTGTATTAAAAGAATGTAATTAAGTTACGGTTTTTACCAGTTTTCACCTACCTGGCAAATCCTCGAATTAGCTTCGGACTAAGTTTGATTTCTGGTGTTCCCGATCTTGACTCCAATTCCGCCACATATTATTGTTGTAATCCGAAAGTAATAAATACTTTTATAACTAGTAGAAGCTAAGAGTAGAATTGATAACGGATGTTAGGGTATTTAAATATTTGTGTGCAATAACACAATTTCGCAGTAGAAGGTATTTCTAATTTTTGTGTCTATGATAAATTCAATTAGTCTATGATTAAATTATGAATATTTATTATTAATATTTAGTAAATATTTATATCAATGAATGTTAGTAGAAACTTTATTTGCTATGAACAAAAACGTAGTCGAATAATATGAAAATTTGCACTATCGTGGTATAATTTCAAATATATCGTGAAAATGTCACTATGAAATTTCCTTAAATTCAGCTGGTATATTTCTACCAAATTATCCCCAGATTAATCATGGAATTATAGGTTTCACAGGAAACTGTAAACATGTAACCAAATACCCCTTTGAAATATTTTCATTATTTGTTATTGTCCAACAGTGTTACCACGTGTAGACCGGTCCGAATCGCCAGAACTTTGACGCAAATTAGCTTAAATTCGCCAATTATTTTTGATAAGTGCCTGAAACCGCTTTCTGTTATGTCAGGGAAAACAAAGGAGGACAATAACAGTCCGCTGCAACATGTTAGCCCGCAGCTTTGTTCGGGGTAACGCACAAGTTAAAATTACACTTTTTAAAGCTTAAAAAAATAAAAATTTCTTAATTTTTTTTTCTTTTATAGAATAGGGTGACAAATGAGCACACAGTCCACCTGATGGTAAGTGGTTGCTGCGGCCCATAGACATCTACATCTATCCTCCATTAAAAATCAAAATGCAGATGCGTTGTCACCTGTGAGGACTGAGATGGAATGCCTCGTTTCCAGTAAAAAGGGTCTCCGATTCTCTACACTCATCATACGAAATACAGCAGCATTAAGCTACTATTTCACGCTGGTATTCTGTGAGAGCGTGGTCCTTCCCCGGTCGAGCCGACCCATTCGTGCTACAACTATACTACTAATATAACTGCAGCATGGCTCTACCACGTAAAAAAAATGTTAACTATAAAGTTGCATCATAGCAGTAAATCACATTAGGACAAATTGATTCTTTAATTAGAAATGATTTTCGTAATTACAAAGATGATATACTAATGGCGTCCCTTGAAAAAAGTTTGTTCGCAAATCTTCCCAAACGACTTCTGCTTCAGGCAAAGGGCTGGTCTGAATTCCTTTTGTTACATATCTTTTCATTATAGTTTGAGGACCTTCGGCAATGTCCGACCAGCTATGAGAACTGCCGCGTTTTAAAGGAGAGCTATTTGATTTTACGGAATTTTCTAAGTATTGTAATGAAGTATTTATTGTAATTACTTGTATCTCGTTGGATTCTAACGTTGTTCCGGTATCTGGTACCGGTACTGCTATTGATTCATCGCATTGCGTAATATTTTCCATAAGTAACATTTCTTTATCCATTTCAATAACTGGAGTAAGGCTCTCTTTACTATCGTACATCGTATCTTCTGGAGTGGAGCCTAGTGATTTTGAATCACATTTATCTCTTCGCATAGTTTCGATTTCACCTGAATCATCAGTGACCACCACAGTGAAATTTGAACCGGTTGAGTCTTGATTGTTTCTTCCTGACAGATTTATTTTAAATAATGGTTTTAAAAATTCAAAATCCAATTCCGAAGAATCGCTTTCATTGACATCGAAACTCATAGCACCTTTGTTTAATACACTAACATTATTTGAACTTGTTTTGGAGGTACTAACTTCAGTAGACTTACTAGAAAAATGTTCATCTTTAGAAATATCATCCTCAGAATCAGTCTCATTATTATTAATCTCAATGATTTTAGTATAAGTATCATCTTCGTAATCGGTTTCATATTCAACACCATGGAATAATTTTCTATATAATTTAAGCATTTTTCTTTCTAACAACTGATAGTATTCCTCCGGTTCATCATGACGGTTCTTTTCCCTTTCTATAATAAGATCTGGCAGAGGACTATATGATCTGGACGAACCGTCTGCTGAAGATATATCGGATAAATTGGATCTCAGTTCATTTGTTTCTGAAATTGTAGGTAACTCTGTAAAATAAAATTTCTAGCATTAGCTACTTGTGTAAATGATTACACATTTTTCAATGTATTTTTTTTTTGATAACCAACACTCGAAGATTTTATCAGTTACTTTTAGGCGTGTCACAATTTCACCCGGCGGATCGGTAAGCTGAAATGGATTGCCATTTCAGCTTACTGATTTAAGCCAGTCATGTAGCTTGAAGAACCGACTACCGATGGGGAAGGAAGGTTTTAGAGTATCGGTTAGCAAAGTGTGGGGTAGCCCCCTCTAGATTGAGTTATAATCTAGTACGGCATGCAGGATGTGGATGCAGGTATTAAGCAGTGGACTTGTCAAGGGTTATGATGATAATGACGATGGAAGTTTCTAAATAACATGAAAATATTAATAGTTCTATGACAAGAGCTAAATAACGTCTTTGTAGATTTATCTTGTTATAAGGTGGACATTATAAATAGGCTGTTAGATTTTGACATTTTACAATTAACTATAAAGTAAGGTTATAGCCTATATACGCCCCACTGCTGGCCACAGGCCTCTTCTGGCTTCTGGTAGAGCTTAAGGGCAAGGAAGTGTCCATCGTGCTGCCCCAATCCGTGTTGATCGACTTCATACGTCTTAAAAATATTTTTTCTTATTTTTAAAACAGGCAGGTTTCCTCACGGTGTGTTCCTTCACAACCGAGAGAAAATTGCAATTAACAAATTATTAAGCCGTGGTATCTCGTGAGTAAGCGCTCGCTGTAAATTTCACAGTAAGCGAGCAACCCGGGTTCGATCCCCGCAATTAACTATAATTACATAATATTTATAAACATAATTATACAAGTTCAACTGTTTCATTTCTGTTTGATATCATGTTTTAATAAATTATTTTAAAGTCTAAAGTAAGTTCAAGCTGGTTTATTTTATTTTTTCGCCACTATTATTTTATTTCCGAACAGATTAATGGAAAAAGGAACAACTTGAATTTAAATTGCCCTTGTTGTTAGAGAATCCAATACCCCGTCTCAACCTGTGAGTGTCGTGTGAGGCGACAAAGGGAAATAATGAAACAAGAGATGGGCAGCAGTACCCTGCTGATAACAAAAAATACAAAAACTGCGGTTGCTAAACCACCTGCAAAGCCCGGTACCCAACTATGTGAAAAAATCCTATCCATAGTCATTCTGTGAGAAAGACCTATGTTCAGCTGTGGACTTTTAATATACTGTAATGCACAAATGAATCATATAGATAATAATTCAAAATCATAAAAATCTGCGGTTGCCAATTTACTGACCAAGCGTGGCAACTATGGCAAACATCCTACCTATGAGAAAATATATGGGGAGGTCTATATTCAACAATAGAGCGTTGTTACGTTGTATTAAAAGAATGTAATTAAGTTACGGTTTTCATCAGTTTTCACCTACCTGGCAAATCCTCGAATAAGCTTCGGACTAAGTTTGATTTCTGGTGTTCCCGATTCCGCCACATATTATTGTTGTAATACGAAAGTAATAAATACTTTTATAACTAGTAGAAGCTAAGAGTAGAATCGACAACGGATATTAGGGTATTTAAAAATTTGTGTGCAATTACGCAATTTAGCAGTGGAAGGTATTTCTAATTTTTGTGTCTATGATAAATTCAATTAGTCTATGACTAAATTATACTACTTGCAATTAATATTATTGTTGTAATCCGAAAGTAATAAATACTTTTATAACTAGTAGAAGCTAAGAGTAGAATTGATAACGGATGTTTGGGTATTTAAAAATTTGTGTGCAATAACACAATTTCGCAGTAGAAGGTTTTCTAATATTTGTGTCTATGATAAATCAATTCGTCTATGATTAAATTATGAATATTTTATTATTAATATTTAGTAAATATTTATATCAATGAACGTTAGTAGAAACTTTATTTGATATGAACAATAACGTAGTCGAATAATATGAAAATTCGCACTATCGTGGTATAATTTCAAATATATCGTGAAAGTGTCACTATGAAATTTCCTAAATTCAGCTGGTATATTTCTGCCAAATTATCCCCAGATTAATCATGGAATTATAGGTTTCACAGGAAACTGTAACCATGTAACCAAATACCCCCTTGGATATATTTTCTTTATTTGTTATTGTTCAACAGTGTTGCCACGTGTAGACCGGTCCGAAATGCCATAACTTTGACGCAAATTAGCTTTAATTTGCCAATTTTTTTTATGTGCCTGAAACCGCTTTCTGTTATGTCAGGGAAAACGGTTATCATTCATCATTACAGCCCTTTACAAGTCCACTGCTGAACATAGGCCTCCCCCAAGGTATGCCACAAAGCACGGTCCTGAGCCACCTGCATCCATCGACTTCCTGCATGTCTTACCAGGTCGTCACTTCATCTAGTGGGGGGTCGCCCAGAACTTCGTCTACCGGTACGAGGCTGCCACTCGAGAACCTTTTTTCCCCAACGGTTGTCAGTTTTTCGAGCTATAATGGCCGGCCCATTGCCACTTCAGCTTACTAATCCGTTAGGCTATGTCGGTCACTCTGGTTCTACTGCGGATATCCTCATTTTTAAGTTTATCACGCAAAGAAACTCCGAGCATAGCCCTCTCCATAGCTCGCTGAGCGACTTTGAGCGTCCTCATACGGCCAGCAGTGAAGGACCACGTCTCAGTTCCATATGTCATCACTGGCAACACGGACTGGTTGTACAACTTAGTTTTCAGGTTTTGAGGTATACCTGACGAGAAGATGTGTCGTAATTTCCCGAACGCTGCCCAGCCGATTTGAATCCGTCGATTGACCTCTCGGTCGAAGTTGGACTTACCTAGTCGGACTATTTGTCCCAGGTAAACGTACTCGTCAACAACTTCGTGCTTAGTGCTCCCAACTACTACCGGCATAGGTGTGACATGGACATTAAATATGATCTTTGTTTTGTCCATGTTCATCTTAAGAACAATCCGTTGGGAGGCACAATTGAGGTCATTGAGCATAGTGCATAAGTCATCCAGCGATTCTGCCATAAGGACTATATCGTCCGCAAATCGAAGGTGAGTGATGTACTCGCCATTGATGTTAATACCGTATCCTTTCCAGTCCAGTAGCTTGAAAACGTCTTCCAATGCAGCGGTGAAGAGTTTCGGGGAAATAACGTCACCCTGTCTTACACCTCTCTGCAGTTGGATAAGTTTCGTACTCTGGTTCTGTACTCGGATAGCCATCGTAGCCCTACTGTACAAACACTTCAGCACTTTAATATACCACACATATACTATACAGTCAACTTGGCACCGCTGAAGAAACTGTAGCACCGCCCAAATTTCAACGGAATCAAAGGCTTTCTCATAGTCCACATACGCCAGGCAAAGTGGCAGATTGTACTCTTCGGACTTCTGTACAATTTGCCGAATGGTATGTATGTGGTCTATGGTACTAAAGCCTTTTCGGAAACCGGCTTGTTCGGGAGGCTGGAAGTCGTCGAGTCTGCATGCGAGACGATTCGACTCTCGAAAACAGCACGTAGACGCGGCTCAGAAGGGATATCGGTCTGTAGTTCTTCAAGAGGGCGTTGTCACCTTTCTTGAAGAACAAGACCACCGCACTTCTGCTCCACGCCTCCGGAGTAGTGCCACCATGGAAGACGGAATTAAAGACCCTCTGAAGGACTTCAAGTACCGGTTTTCCACCCGCTTTCAGAAGCTCCGCTGTAATTCCATCCTCGCCCGGGGACTTGCCGTTTTTAAGGTGCTGGAGAGCCACTCTAATCTCGCTCAGACTGACGTCCGGGATATCATCGGAATAGTGTCGGATAAGACCCGCTCTTGGATCGTTACTCACACTTGCGTGTGGCTCCAACGATGATGTGTACAGCTGCCCATAGAACCTCTCAATCTCGCTCAGAATCTCAGGTGTCCCGGAAACGATGCTGCCACACTCAGTCTTCAGCTTTGACAGTTGGCTCTTACTGGCAGACAGATCTCTGGCAAAGACTTTTGAGCCCTGGTTCCGCTCAATCGCTTCTTTAATACGAGCAGTATTAAATTTGCGTAAGTCTCGCCGCATGCATTTGGAGATCTGTCTGTTCAGTTGCCTGTATGCTGTCAAATTTGTTGACGATTGCAACCTCATCTCCCGTCTAACAGCCATGAGATTAAGAATGTAATTGGAGAGCTTTTGTGTTCTTCTGCGGCCGGTCTTGCAGAACTTAGCTCCGACCGCATGGACAGTTTCCACGAGCTTGTCATTCATATCGTCCACTGCATTGCAATCTTCTAGGCACTGAAAGCGGTTACGTAACTCGAGCTGAAAAGTTTCGGGATTCTGGATTAGAGCACGAGGGGGACGGAGCGTTGACTTCATTAGACGAGAACTCTCCAACTTAACGTTTAGGTTCAGTATGCCTCTAAGCATTCGGTGATCGCTGCCAGTTTTCACCCTTGCGATCACTGAGATATCACTGAACAGTTAGCGTCTGGTCGTCATAATGAAGTCAATCTCATTTTTTGTGGAACCGTCGGGACTCGACCAGGTCCACTTCCTGTGGGGCCGCTTCTGGAAGAAAGAGTTCATCATAAAGAGTCCCTCTTTCTCCATGAAGTCGAACAGCTGCTGGCCCTTTGGGTTCCGTTGCCCTACTCCAAATTTCCCTAACTTCAGCTCACCGCTTTTTCTTGTGCCTAGTTTTGCGTTGAAGTCTCCCATCAACACCGTGTAGTGGGTTTTGGAGGAATGCATGGCTCTAGAAATATCCTCATACATTTCCTTCACCTCCTCATAGGGATGTGGAGCTTCACCTTCAGCGAATACCGTTTGGTGATTCTAAGTATCAGGTACGTGACCCTCGTCGACACACTCCCAATCTTTACAACGTTGTTGACGAGAGACTTGTGGACGATAAATCCGACACCTCCTTGGGACAGATGGTCGATAGAACAAGTCCCCGTGATAGAACAAGTTGCCGGACTCGAGGATTACCGTGTTCTCCCCCTCTCTTCGGACCTCGGATAACCCAATAACATGCCAGCACAACTTGTCTACCCCTTCTTCCAACTCCAGTATCTTCTCCTCAGTCCTCAGGGTGCGTGCGTTATATGTTGCCAGGTCGAGTCGTCGTAGGTGGCAACCGAACCTCCACCAGAGATTCTTAGCACCCCCTGCCCCGCCGTTACCATGGTCGCCACCGTAGCCAGGAATAGCGGGGCCACCGGGGACTGGGGGCCGTTTGTTTGCGTCGTTACTCATGGGGGGATATTTGCCATAGTTGCCACGCTATGCGAGCGGGTTGGCAACCGCAGTTTTTTATTATATCATTGCTGTTATCAGGAAGATGCTGCTGCCCATCTCCTGCCTGTCTCCCTCTGTCGCCTCTTACGACACCCACGGGAAGATATGGGGTAGTGGATATTCTTAACCGCCACTACACGGCCAGGGAAAACGTTAATTCGTTCGTAATTAAAAGAGAAAGGAGGATAACAGTCCGCTGCAATATGTTAGCCCACAGCTTTGCTCGGGGTAACGCACAAGTTAAAATTACACTTTTTAAAGCATTCTGCCAAACAATGTACGGCTAAAATCTGCCAGGGATATCAATATTTAGACCTTTTGGATTTTTTTTTCGACTATTTTGTACCAAATTAGGCACAAAAACTATCTATCGTACCTCAGTTAGATCATACATTATAGTAACATAAAAAATATTTTGGTTTCTAATTTTAATACTAAGTGTTCTTTTTTCTCCTCAAAACGTAAATTGAACCTTTCAAGATTCACCCTAAATCGGGTTGACTATTAATCTCATTTTCATTTAGCCATTCGGCGTCCTTGTTTCAGTCTGCATCTCTTGTTCTGCACATTTATTCTCAAACACAAGCACGATGCGCTACGTGTACGCCCCGAGTTTGAGCTCTGGGCGAGTCGTTCTATCCTAATATATTCTATTCTTTCTTTCTTTCTTTCTATCCTATATATAATATATAGCTTGTAGTAGTTTATCTATCAAAGCGCGATTGCATAAAGTTTTGTCTCTGGTCGGTTTCTTTATTAAAGTAATGAAAAATAAACTCATTTCTCTGTTATTTGTAACAAATAGAAAAGAAACTCACAAACCATATTAAAAAAAATTAAAAAAGTATTATGAATTTAGATTATATGGTTTCAAAAATATTTTATTGCATTATAACTTTTTACCTTAAGTAAAATTTTGAATAATCCTACAGCTCTCTATGTCAAAAAAGTAAGAAAAAATTGAACCCCGCCCCTTAGCCTTCTTACGTAATACTCGAACGTGCATAAGGCCGACTGTTCATGACAAATATGTATCAAAGGGTTTTAAAAATAACTAGAATGTGATCAATTTAATAATATATTTTGTAAACATAAAAATGTCTTAATGTTACCTATAAAGTTGCATCATAGTGGCAAAACACATTAGGACAAATTATATCAATAAATAAAAATTTTACAATTTGATTCTTTAATCAGAAATGATTTTCGCAATTACAAAGATGTTAAACCATGGTTCATAAAATTAGCTTGATCTCTGCGACAGCTGTCAGTAAAATGACGCCTATGAAGTCCTGAATTTCTTAGTAGTACAGACAGTACCTGTCAATGTCATACTTTATGGGCATGCCGACCTAATTAGTGCCGCCATCTTGTTTGATTGAACCTCCATTCTCTTCAGTACGAGTGCCGACACCTTGTATACGCTACGTGTTTTCCGTTCTCATTACTTTGTTTTTGTTACTATTGCTGTTATTGTTTGTTAATTTGTTGAGTTTTGTTATCTTTTCTTATTATTGTTAGTTTCTTGTTGGCATAATGCCAAAGAGAACGAAGAAAACCGTTTTGAACAGTCAAAGTCGTGAGTTTGTGATGCGCTTACGTGAATATTTTGAGCGAGAGAACCAAAATGGCGGGCCGCTATTACCCATGGAGAACGTATGTGATAGATTTGCAGATGCTCTTGGCATTGGACATGCGACAGTAATTCGCATCAGCAAAGAAAAGTATGGCGAATCTTCAACCGCAGCATTGACTGAAGACGAGGACAAAAAACTTGCAACACCAAATATAAAAAGGAAAAAGACTGCTCCTGTCACAAACATTGACAACTTTGACGCCGCTGCGATTCACAACCATGTATATGGTTATTTTACAGGGGGCGAATTGCCTACATTGAAAAAACTTGCCGCGTCCCTTAAAGACGCAGACTTGTTCAAAGGAAGCTTGCTATCTCTAACCAAGATATTGAAAAATATTGGTTTTTCCTATAAATAAGTGACAAAAGAAAAATTATTATGGAAAGAACCGTAATTGCTCTTGCTCGAGTGAATTTTCTCCGAAAAGAAAAAATCACAAATTGGGACAAAGTAGTGTTTCTAGACGAAACATGGCTAAACTCGAATCATACCTTATCCAAAGCTTGGACCGATGATACTGCACAATCAACCACCAAAGTACCCGAAGGCAAAGGTCAAAGATTAATCATCACTCATGCTGGGACGTCATCTGGTTTTGTGCCTAATTGCCTATTGGCATTCAAATCAACTAAAACTACTGAATACCACGAAGAAATGAATTTTGAAAAATCTAAGGAGCGGTTTTTAAAATTATTAGATAATTTTAAGGAGCCACATTGCATTATTATGGATAATGCCCCATATCACTCGGTCCAAAAGCACAAACCACCAACTTCGTAAACAGAAAATTAGAAATCATTGCATGGCTTCAAGAAAAAGGAATAGAGGCCAATGAAACTATGCTTAAAAATGAATTATTAAGACTCGTTGGTCTGCACAAACCTAGTACTCCAACGTATGTATTAGATGATATAGCCCACGAAAAGGGTCATACCGTCAAAGACTACCCCCGTACCACTGCCAGTATAATCCGATCAAGCTTATCTGGGCCCAAGTCAAAGGTTTGTTTGCTTGAATTTCAGTTAGATAGGTACTTTAATTATTAACTACTGTTTAATTAATCTTATTAAAAATATGTTTTCTTTTAAGGTTACGCTGCCAGATAAACACAACACCGCCTTTCATGGCAAATAAAATGTTGCAGTTATTAAAAAGTGCGGTCGACAATGTATCTGCAGAAGACTGGAAGAAGGTGGTAACCTAATGAAGAAAACTAATGGAAGAAGATTGGAAGCGGGACGTGCGATTTGATAATATTTGCGAACAAGAGTAAATTTACAAGATTGTTCTAGCGATTCAGAAACTGATCAGATATGGATTTGGGGTGTACTCCTTTAAGAGAATTAATGCATTTTATATTAAAAATATTCGTTTAATTTAGTAGCGTTTGTAATTAAATTAAACCCAATTATTATATGTTACATTAGCATCGATAATAGTAAGAAACATCGATAATTTCTATTGACAATTTTTTATATCCTGTCAGGATAATATAAAAAATTGTCAAACCCTAGGAATGTCAGTTTGACATATGTCGCAAAGATCAAGCTATCTTTTATCGTCTATAATGGCGTGCCTTGAAAAAAGTTTGTTCGCAAATTTTCCCAAACGACTTCTGCTTCAGGCAAAGGGCTGGTCTGAATTCCTTTTGTTACATATCTTTTCATTATACTTTGAGAACCTTCGGCAATGTCCGACCAGCTATGAGAACTGCCGCGTTTTAAAGGAGATCTATTTGATTTTCCGGAATTTTCTGAGTATTGTAATGAAGTATTTATTGTAATAACTTTTACCTCGTTGGATTCTAACGTTGTTCCGGTATCTGGTACCGGTACCGCAATTGATTCATCGCATTGCGTAATATTTTCCATAACTAACATTTCTTTGTCCATTTAAATAACTAGAGTAAGGCTCTCTTTACTAGACATCATATCTTCTGGAGTGGAGCCTAGTGATTTTGAATCACAGTTATCTCTTCGCATAGTTTCGATTTCACCTGAATCATTAGTGACCACCACAGTGAAATTTGATCTGGGTTTGTCTTGATTGTTTCTTCCTGACTGATTTATTTTAAATAATGGTTTTAAAAATTCAAAATCCAAGTCTGAAGAATCGCTTTCATTAAGGTCGGAGCTCATAGTACCTTTGTTTAATACACTAACATTATTTGAACTTGTTTTGGAGGTACTAAATTCAGTAGACTTACTTGACAAATGTTCATCTTTAGAAATATCATCATCAGAATCAGTCTCATTATCATTAATCTCAATGATTTTAGTATGAGTATCATCTTCATAATCGGTTTTAATATTCAACACCATGGCATAATTTTCTATATAATTTAAGCATTTTTCTTTCTAACAACTAATAGTATTCCTCCGGTTCATCATGACGGTTCTTTTCCCTTTCTATTATAAGATCTGGCAGAGGACTATATGATCTGGACGAACCGTCTGCTGAAGATATATCGGATAAATTGGATCTCAGTTCATTTGTTTCTGAAATTGTAGGTAACTCTTTAAAATAAAATTTCTAGCATTAGCTACTTGTTTAAATGATTACACATTTTTCAATGTATTTTTTTTTTTTTGATAATCAACACTCGAAGATTTTATCAGTCACTTTTAGGCGTGTCACAATTTCACCCGGCGGATCGGTAAGCTGAAATGGATTGCCATTTCAGCTTACTGATTTGGGCCAGTCATATAGCTTGAAGAACCGACTACCGATGGGGAAGGAAGGTTTTAGAGTATCGGTTAGCAAAGTGTGGGGTAGCCCCCTCTAGATGGAGTAATAATCTAGTATGGCATGCAGGATGTGGATGCAGGTATTAAGCAGTGGACTTGTCAAGGGTTATGATGATAATGACGATGGAACTGTCAGAATAATATGCAAATGTTAATAGTTCTTTAACAAGAGCTAAATAACGTCTTTGTTGTTTTATCTTGTTATAAGGTGGATATTATAAATCGACTGTAAGATTTTGACATTTTAGAATTAACTATAAAATAAAGTTATAGCCTATATACGTCCCACTGCTGGCCACAGGCCTCTTCTGGCTTCTGGTAGAGTTTAAGGGCAAGGAAGTGTCCACCGTGCTGCCCAAATCCGTGTTGATCGACTTCATACGTCTTCGAAATATATATTTTTTTTCAAACAAGCAGGTTTCCTCACGGTGTTTTCCTTCACCACCGAGCACGTGCTAAATCAGCAATTAAAATTGCAATCAACAAATTATTAAGCCGTGGTAGCTCGTGGGTAAGCGCTCGCTGTAAATTTCACAGTAATTTACTGACCAAGCGTGGCAACTATGACAAACATCCTCCCTATGAGAAAATATATGAGGAGGTCTATATTCAACAATGGAGCGTTGTTATGTTTAAAGAATGTAATTAGGTTACGGTTTTCACCGGTTTTCACTTACATGGCAAATCCTCGAATAAGCTTCGGACTAAGTTTGATTTCTGGTGTTCCCGCTCTTGACTCCAATTCCGCCACAAATTATTGTTGTAATCCGAAAGTAATAAATACTTTTATAATTAGTTGAAGCTAAGAGTAGAATCGATAACGGATGTTAGGGTATTTAAAAATTTGTGTGCAATAACACAATTTCGCAGTAAAAGGTATTTCTAATTTTTGTGTCTATGATAAATTCAATTAGTCTGTGACTAAATTATACTACTTGAAATTAATATTATTGTTGTAACCCGAAAGTAATAAATACTTTTATAACTAGTAGAAGCTAAGAGTAGAATCGACAACGGATATTAGGGTATTTAAAAATGTGTTTGCAATAACACAATTTCGCAGTAGAAAATATTTCTAAGTTTTGTGTCTATGATTAATTTAATAGTCTATGACTAAATTATGAATAATTTATTATTTAATATTTAGTAAATATTTATATCAATTAATAGAAACTTCATTCAAAAAACGTAGTCGAATAATATTAAAATTCGCACTATCATGGTATAATTTCAAATATATCGTGAAAATGTCACTATGAAATTTCCTTAAATTCAGCTGGTATATTTCTGCCAAATTATCCTCAGATTAATCATGGAATTATAGGTTTTACAGGAAACTGTTAACATGTAACCAAATACCCCTTTGTAATATTTTCTTTATTTGTTATTTTCAAACACTGTTGCCACGTGTAGACCGGTCTGAAGCGCCAGAACTTTGACGCAAATTAGATTAAATTCGCCAAATTTTTTGATAAATGCCTGAAACCGTTTACTATTATGTCATGGAACATGGTTAATGCATTCGTAATTGAAAGAGAAAGGAGGACAATAACAGTCCGCTGCAACATGTTGGCCCGCAGCTTTGCTCGGGGTAACGCACACAAACGAGTATTAATATTTAGAACTTTCGAATTTTTTTCGACTACTTTCTACCAAATTAGAAACAAAAACTATCGTACCTCAGTTAGACCACACATTATAGTAGCATAAAAAATAATTTGGTTTCTAATTTTAATACCACTTGTTTTTTTTTCTTCTCAAAACGTAAATTGAACATCGCAAGATTCACCCCGAATCGGGTAGACTATTAATGTCAAACCATCAAGGTTAAATGAAAAACCTTTCTGCATCTTTGTTTCAATCTGCATTTCTTCTTTTGCACATTAAGGGTACACTAGTCACTCATCCTTCCATACAAACGTAGTCTGGCGATTACTCCAGTGTTTGATGGTGTACATTCAAAATAAAAAATTATTTTACTTTGTCTCATCATTGTCTAACCCTGTATGGACACAAAAAATTAAAAAGAATATGTTTAAAAGTCATGAGCGCCAAAAATTCCAAATTTCAACACTAATTTTAACACATCTTTAGGCGGAAATAAATACCATAAGAAAAACCAATACTAGTATTGCAAAGCAGTTACCATACAGGGATATATTAGTCGTTCAAAAATGCAAATAATTTTATTTTGAACAGATACATTCAATAGATTTTTCATGATATCCAGATTCCCAAAGTTCTGTTTATAAAATTTCGCGCGCTCATTTCTGTTGTAAAACATCATTTGTTGTAATGGCGGTTCCACATTATCGCCGTGAATTCACGTCGTGAATTCACGGCACAATTCGTGCCCTCCACATTCACGGCATGCTCACAATCGTTTGGTGAACCCCGCCGCGAAACGGACGTAAAAGCTACTGCTGGAATAGCTTTATTTATTTGTTATATTTTTATTATATATTTTATACGTGGTAGAGCCATACTGCAGTTATGTTATTAGTATAGTTGTAGCACGAATGGGTCGGCTCGACCGGGGATGGACCACGCTCTCACAGAATACCAGCGTAAAATAGCAGCTTAATGCTACTACTACTACTTCGTACGGTGAATGTAGAGAACCGGAGACCCTTTTTACTGGAAACGAGGCATTTCATCTTAGTCCTCACGGGTGACAACGCATCTGCATTTTGATTTGTAATCGAGGATAGATGTAGATGTCTACGGACCGCAGCAGCAACTTACCATCAGGTGGACTGTGTGCTAATTTGTTACCCTGTCCTATTAAAAAAAACTTGCTGTGGCAACATACTCGTATCACTATTTAGAGGTCCAAACCAAGAAATTTATTAGAAAGCGTTGCGAAAAAAAAAGAAGATGGTGTATGACTAAATTAAATCGTTCGTACGCCTTTGCAGTCCGTACGCCAAAACGAACTGGCATGATTCATGCAAGGGTTCATGAACCCTTTGTCGCGGGACAAAATACCGACTCTGATCGGGGAACAGGCGCGAACGCGCGTGAATCCCGCGAAAACCATCCACATCCACGTTCACGCCTGTTCACGGAGGTTCACGGCACAGACTAGATAGAGAAACTAACGTTTGGTTCACGGCGATAATGTGGAGCCGCGTTAAAACATCAAATGCCTCCCCAATCAGTAGGACTGACGGAGGGGGGGGGGGGCGCAGCGCGCACCCACACATGATCACTAGGTTAGCCGCTGCTATCTATTTATGGTTGTAATACCTACGTATCTACATCTTTATTTAGAAAAATTGCTTCCTTTTGTTTGTGTCCACCAATCTATGGTGTCCACTGCTACAGCCGGGCCGAATATAGCTGCTAAAATGTACCCATAAGTTTGTTGAAGCACATTTAGCTATAATTGAAAACAGGTAGGTACATAATAATGAACTTTCGATATAGGTAATACATTAGGTAACTACTTTAATTTGCTAACTAACGAAAACATCTACAATAAGTACGATTGTCGAAAATCTTAAAATTATCTATTAATTTAATAAGAATAGATAATATTTAGATTTTCGATAATCGTGCTTACTTATAGGAATCTAATATCCTAATATACCTAATCCAATTTATGTAAGTACATAAAATCTAAGAAGGGCAGCAGTGATAAGTAAAACTTGTTTTGTAAGTTGTTTTTTTTAAACACTTTAACACGACAAAAACATGAAACTGAGAAGAAGCACCCAATCTGCCGAAACAAACTCAGAGAGGTCAGTCAGGTATTATATTGGTCATGACTAGAACCAGGCAGGTGTCTAATATGGTCCTTTGAGAAAAGAACCATTCAAATGTGAGTGGACAGCTAAGTATTTTTTAAGATTCCGTACCCGAAGGCGTTACCCTTACGAAGACGGGACCCTATTACGAAGCCTCCGCTGTCCGTGAGTCTGTCTGTCAGCGGGCTTGTATCTCATGATCTGTAATAGATGGTTGTAATTTTCACAGAACGTGTATTTCTGTTGCCGCTATAACAACAAATAGTTTTTTTTATAGGGATAGCGTGACAAGCGGGCACACAGTTCACCTGATGGTAAGTGGTTGCTGTGGTCAATAGACATCTATATCTATCCTCGATTGCAAATCAAAATGCAGATGCGTTGTCAGCCTTGAGGACTAAGATGGAATGCCTCTTTTACAGTAAAAAGGGTCTCCGGTTCTCTACACTCACCATACGAAACACAGCAGCATTAAGCTGATATTTGACGCTGTATGTATATTCTGTGAGAGCGTGGTTCCTCCCCGGTCGAGTCGACCCATTCGTGTTAAAACTATACAATTATTAATATAGCTGCAGCATGGCTCTACCACGTACAAAAAAGAATTTGAAATTAAAGGGTTTCCTACTAGAAAAAGGAACGTGTATTTTTGGCTTTTTTGCTCGATAATAATATGTAAGTATATTAAACCTTGTATGATGGTACGGAAGCTCGGAAGTCCGAGTCGCACTTTGCAAATATTTGTTTATATAAATTAGGAACAAATAAAAATGTTTTGAAAATATTTGCGAAAGATGCACTTCCGACACTCACATCACAAGCTCG